TATGATTGCCAACCATGAATAGGGGTGATTCATGCTCTGAGAGATTGAAAACGTATCCGAAACCATGACAGCCTTCCTCTTCCTTTTCCCATTGCGCGAGATCAACTCAGAGATACACTGACATACAGAACAAGCTGAAACTTATTTGTGACTAGAATATTTCACATTTCAGTATTTTGAATACTGCTGCTTTTACAGGCATGATGGTGAATAATACAACTGAGCTGGTGTATGATACTGTCAGGCAGGATGGTGAATAATACAACTGAGCTGGTGTATGATACTGTCAGGCAGGATGGTGAATAATACAACTGAGCTGGTGTATGATACTGTCAGGCAGGATGGTGAATAATACAACTGAGCTGGTGTATGATACTGTCAGGCAGGATGGTGAATAATACAACTGAGTTGGTGTATGATACTGTCAGGCAGGATGGTGAATAATACAACTGAGCTGGAGTATGATACTGTCAGGCAGGATGGTGAATAATACAACTGAGTTGGTGTATGATACTGTCAGGCAGGATGGTGAATAATACAACTGAGCTGGTGTATGATACTGTCAGGCAGGATGGTGAATAATACAACTGAGTTGGTGTAGGATACTGTCAGGCAGGATGGTGAATAATACAACTGAGTTGGTGTATGATACTGTCAGGTATGATGGTGAATAATACAACTGAGTTGGTGTAGGATACTGTCAGGCAGGATGGTGAATAATACAACTGAGCTGGTGTAGGATACTGTCAGGCAGGATGGTGAATAATACAACTGAGTTGGTGTATGATACTGTCAGGCATGATGGTGAATACAACTGAGCTGGTGTAGGATACTGTCAGGTATGATGGTGAATAATACAACTGAGTTGGTGTATGATACTGTCAGGCAGGATGGTGAATAATACAACTGAGTTGGTGTATGATACTGTCAGGCAGGATGGTGAATAATACAACTGAGTTGGTGTATGATACTGTCAGGTATGATGGTGAATAATACAACTGAGTTGGTGTATGATACTGTCAGGCAGGATGGTGAATAATACAACTGAGCTGGTGTATGATACTGTCAGGCAGGATGGTGAATAATACAACTGAGCTGGTGTATGATACTGTCAGGCAGGATGGTGAATAATACAACTGAGTTGGTGTATGATACTGTCAGGCAGGATGGTGAATAATACAACTGAGTTGGTGTAGGATACTGTCAGGTATGATGGTGAATAATACAACTGAGCTGGTGTAGGATACTGTCAGGCAGGATGGTGAATAATACAACTGAGCTGGTGTATGATACTGTCAGGCAGGATGGTGAATAATACAACTGAGCTGGTGTATGATACTGTCAGGCAGGATGGTGAATAATACAACTGAGCTGGTGTATGATACTGTCAGGCAGGATGGTGAATAATACAACTGAGCTGGTGTATGATACTGTCAGGCAGGATGGTGAATAATACAACTGAGCTGGTGTATGATACTGTCAGGCAGGATGGTGAATAATACAACTGAGCTGGTGTATGATACTGTCAGGCAGGATGGTGAATAATACAACTGAGCTGGTGTATGATACTGTCAGGTATGATGGTGAATAATACAACTGAGCTGGTGTATGATACTGTCAGGCAGGATGGTGAATAATACAACTGAGCTGGTGTATGATACTGTCAGGCAGGATGGTGAATAATACAACTGAGTTGGTGTATGATACTGTCAGGCAGGATGGTGAATAATACAACTGAGCTGGTGTAGGATACTGTCAGGCATGATGGTGAATAATACAACTGAGCTTGGTGTATGATACTGTCAGGCAGGATGGTGAATAATACAACTGAGCTGGTGTAGGATACTGTCAGGCAGGATGGTGAATAATACAACTGAGCTGGTGTATGATACTGTCAGGCATGATGGTGAATAATACAACTGAGCTGGTGTATGATACTGTCAGGCATGATGGTGAATAATACAACTGAGCTGGTGTATGATACTGTCAGGCAGGATGGTGAATAATACAACTGAGCTGGATACCGTGTATGATACTGTCAGGCATGATGGTGAATAATACAACTGAGCTGGTGTATGATACTGTCAGGTATGATGGTGAATAATACAACTGAGCTGGTGTATGATACTGTCAGGTATGATGGTGAATAATACAACTGAGCTGGTGTATGATACTGTCAGGCAGGATGGTGAATAATACAACTGAGCTGGTGTATGATACTGTCAGGCAGGATGGTGAATAATACAACTGAGCTGGTGTATGATACTGTCAGGCAGGATGGTGAATAATACAACTGAGCTGGTGTATGATACTGTCAGGCAGGATGGTGAATAATACAACTGAGCTGGTGTATGATACTGTCAGGCAGGATGGTGAATAATACAACTGAGCTGGTGTATGATACTGTCAGGCAGGATGGTGAATAATACAACTGAGCTGGTGTATGATACTGTCAGGCATGATGGTGAATAATACAACTGAGTTGGTGTATGATACTGTCAGGTATGATGGTGAATAATACAACTGAGTTGGTGTATGATACTGTCAGGCATGATGGTGAATAATACAACTGAGCTGGTGTATGATACTGTCAGGCAGGATGGTGAATAATACAACTGAGCTGGTGTATGATACTGTCAGGCAGGATGGTGAATAATACAACTGAGCTGGTGTATGATACTGTCAGGCAGGATGGTGAATAATACAACTGAGCTGGTGTATGATACTGTCAGGCAGGATGGTGAATAATACAACTGAGTTGGTGTAGGATACTGTCAGGCAGGATGGTGAATAATACAACTGAGCTGGTGTATGATACTGTCAGGCAGGATGGTGAATAATACAACTGAGCTGGTGTATGATACTGTCAGGCAGGATGGTGAATAATACAACTGAGCTGGTGTATGATACTGTCAGGCAGGATGGTGAATAATACAACTGAGTTGGTGTATGATACTGTCAGGCAGGATGGTGAATAATACAACTGAGCTGGTGTATGATACTGTCAGGCAGGATGGTGAATAATACAACTGAGCTGGTGTAGGATACTGTCAGGCAGGATGGTGAATAATACAACTGAGCTGGTGTATGATACTGTCAGGCAGGATGGTGAATAATACAACTGAGCTGGTGTATGATACTGTCAGGCAGGATGGTGAATAATACAACTGAGCTGGTGTATGATACTGTCAGGCAGGATGGTGAATAATACAACTGAGCTGGTGTATGATACTGTCAGGCAGGATGGTGAATAATACAACTGAGCTTGGTGTATGATACTGTCAGGTATGATGGTGAATAATACAACTGAGTTGGTGTATGATACTGTCAGGCAGGATGGTGAATAATACAACTGAGCTGGTGTATGATACTGTCAGGCAGGATGGTGAATAATACAACTGAGCTGGTGTATGATACTGTCAGGCAGGATGGTGAATAATACAACTGAGCTGGTGTATGATACTGTCAGGCATGATGGTGAATAATACAACTGAGCTGGTGTATGATACTGTCAGGCAGGATGGTGAATAATACAACTGAGCTGGTGTATGATACTGTCAGGCAGGATGGTGAATAATACAACTGAGCTGGTGTATGATACTGTCAGGCAGGATGGTGAATAATACAACTGAGTTGGTGTATGATACTGTCAGGTATGATGGTGAATAATACAACTGAGCTGGTGTATGATACTGTCAGGCAGGATGGTGAATAATACAACTGAGCTGGAGTATGATACTGTCGGGCAGGATGGATTTATTGATGGTTTTATTGTTAGGGACAATATCACATGCTTCAGCAGCTGGATCATCCAATACAAATGTAATGAAATCACACATAAAGCAGACAACAGATGTAACCGGGAGTCAGGTTCTATAAATATTATTGTCAGCAGCATCATGAGAACTTGGCTCCATACATTTTTCTCAGTGGTCAAGAATGGAAACTTGCCTTCTGCATGACATGCTATTGCTTTAACTTCTTGTCACTCACAATTATGCAATATTGTGTACTTTAATACCTTAGGCAAAACCTTTCTCATCAAATTTGTCTGCATGTGTCAAGAGGAACTGGTGCATGTCAAGTACGTCATATTAACAAGGTTTCACTGTGATTTTAAAATCATTGAAAATCCCCAAAGAAATCATTGCGAAAAACAATGAAATCATCGAAAAAAGCAATGAAATCGTTGAGAAAAAACAGAAATCATTGAAAAAAACAATGAAATCATTGAAAAAACACAGCAAGCTGCTATCAATACTTTGTCAAAAGCTGTAGATGGTGTAATGTCCTCCTCTTCCTAAGGCAGATGAGTTTACTAACTAAAAGAGTCCAATTTTCATCTTTGCTGAACTACACTGAAATTTTAAACCCTGATTGTAGCACCACCAATGGATATTACAAGTTATGTCCCTTCAATGTCCCTACAACTGACCAATCAGATTTGACCTCTAATATCACTTGTAAAAATGGTGGCATCCAACCAAGATGATCTGTTATCGAGATAATCAAGATCAATAGTGTAATGAACAGGACTTATGATGATTTTTATGGAGAAGCATGTACAATGTGAATGACACCCCCTAAAATTTATGCACAAAATAAGTGACATCCCCCAATGTCATGTACAAAATCAATGACCTCCTTCCCCTTCCCATAATTTCTAAGAATAATTTTAAACATATTTTTATGTACAAAATTGCTGACCCCCCCTAACTCCCCAGAACAAAATGGGTGACTCCCCCTTAAAATCATCATCATCATCACCCCCCCCACCCCCAGCCATAAATTATGAACGGTCTCTAAAGCCAGAATAATTCCAGCCTAGTTGAACAAAGGAAGAAACTGGACCAGTTGCCTTGAGAATATCACCTGTCCTGACTGTTACTGATGTACTGAATACACTCTAACAGAGACGTGTACACACATTCTAATGCTACAGGAGACAGGTACATCTAAAGCACACAATGAAAAGTAGGTAGAGTTCAGAACCCACATACCATACACCAAGACGTCTACAATATTGTTAATATTGTAATTCCCACACCAGTAATGGCCGCGGTCATGGCTTGAGATATTTGTCAAGGTCATCGTGATAGTCCTTGAGGTGGTCCACTCTACTCTCATTCGTCTTTTAATACTCTCTCTATTAATGCTTGTATTATGATACGGTTTAAACTGGAATTTGGATTCAATTCTTATGGAAGTTGGATTGTTTGGACGTTTTGTAAAATTACATATGACAGTCAACGTGTCTCCTTCATAAATCCATTTCTCTGTTGAGTTGAGAACTTGCATTTCTGAAAACAAAGTATCCAAGCAAACAAACTCAAAGTGTGAAACAGAAAAGCGGACACACTGTTTTGTCAACCTCAGAAAACAGGTTCAAATGTTCAAATGTATGTTTGATCTCACATTTTCTATGTTTGCTCTTTGAAAGGTATTTGCCACATCAGTTTGAACAGGGACCACCCTGTACTCTCCTAGCACCACCCTGCACTCTCCAAGCTCCACCCAGCACTCTCCCAACACCATTCCTCTCTCTCCAAGCTCCCAAGCTCTCACCTGCAGCAGCATCATCCAAGCTGCTCCCTAGCACCACCCTGCACTCTCTCCTAGCACCACCTCTGCACTCTCCTAGCACCACCCCAGCACTCTCCTAGCTGCACCATCTCCCAGCACCACCCAGCACCACCTGCACTCTCTCTCCTAGCACCACCTCTGCACCTCCTAGCACCACCCTGCACTCCCTAGCACCACCCAGCACTCTCCCTCCACCCCACGCACAAATCTCCACCACCACCAAGCTGCACTCTCCTAGCACCACCTCAGCACTCTCCCTAGCACCACCTCTCCAGCACTCTCCCTAGCACCAGCACTCTCCCCAGCACCACCCAGCACTCTCCTAGCACCAGCACCTCTCTCCACCCCTGCACTCTCCTAGCTACCCTATCCCAGCACTCTCCTAGCACCACCCACACTCTCCTAGCACCTCCCCAGCACTCTCCTAGCACCACCCAGCACTCTCCTTAGCACCACCCAGCACTCCTAGCACCACCAGCACTCTCCTCAGCACCACCCAGCACTCTCCTAGCACCACCTGCACTCTCCTAGCACCACCCCAGCACTCTCCTAGCACCACTCCCCTCCAGCACCACCCAGCACTCTCCTAGCACCACCCAGCACTCTCCTAGCACCACCCACCACTCTCCTAGCACCACCCTGCACTCTCCTAGCACCACCCAGCACTCTCCTAGCACCACCCAGCACTCACCCCTGCACTCTCCCTAGCAAGCACCACCCAGCACTCCCTAGCACCACCCAGCACTCTCCCTAGCACCACCCACTCTCCCTCCAGCACCAGCACTCTCAGCACCCAGCCTCCAGCACCACCCCAGCACCACCCAGCACTCACCCTGCACCAGCCAGCACTCACCCAGCACCACCCAGCACTCTCCAAGCACTCACTCCTAGCACCACCCAGCACTCTCCAGCACTCACCCAGCACTCTCCCAGCACCACCCAGCACTCTCCTAGCACCACCCAGCACTCTCCCAGCACCACCCAGCTCCTCACCTAGCACCACTCCAGCACTCTCTCCCAAGCACCACCCAGCACTCTCCTAGGCTCCACCCAGCACTCTCCTAGCACCACCCAGCACTCTCCTAGCACCACCCAGCCAAGGCTCCACCCAGCACTCTCCTAGCACCACCCAGCACTCTCCTCTCCTAGCACCACCCAGCACTCTCCCAGCACCACCCAGCACTCTCCCAGCACCACCCAGCACTCTCCCAGCTCCACCCAGCACTCTCCCAGCACCACCCTGCCCTCCTAGCTCCACCCAGCACTCTCCCAGCTCCCAGCACCAGCCTGCTCTCCCAGCTCCACCCAGCACTCTCCCAGCTCCACCCAGCACTCTCCTAGCTCCACCCAGCACCACTCCACCCACCTCTCCAGCACCACCCAGCACTCTCCCAGCACCACCCAGCACTCTCCCAGCTCCACCCAGCACTCTCCCAGCTCCATCCACCCAGCACTCTCCTAGCTCCACCCAGCACTCTCCTCCAGCTCCACCCAGCACTCTCCCAAGCTCCACCCAGCACTCTCCCAGCACCACACTCTCAGCACCACCCCTAGCACTCCTTGCTCCACCCAGCACTCTCCCAGCTCCACCCAGCACTCTCCCAGCCACCATCCAGCACTCTCCCAGCTCCACCCAGCAGCACTCTCCCAGCACCATCCCAGCACTCTCCCAGCTTCCACCCAGCACTCCCCAGCACAGCACCCAGCACTCTCCTAGCTCCACCCAGCACTCTCCCAGCTCCACCCAGCACTCTCCCAGCTCCACCCAGCACTCTCCCAGCTCCACCCAGCACTCTCCCAGCTCCACCCAGCACTCTCCTAGCACCACCCAGCACTCTCCCAGCACCACCCAGCACTCTCCCAGCACCACCCAGCACTCTCCCCCAGCACTGCTCCACCCAGCACCACCCAGCACCATCCTAGCACCATCCAGCACTCTCCTAGCTCCACCCAGCACTCTCCCAGCTCCATCCAGCACTCTCCCTAGCACCACCCAGCACTCTCCTAGCACCACCCACCGCTCTCCCAGCACCACCAAGCACTCTCCAAGCTCCATCCAGCACTCTCTCAGCACCACCAAGCGCTCTTCCAGCACCACCCTGCACTCTCCTAGCTCACTCACTTAGTTTGTTTGAATCCTAAGATCTTGGATTCAAACTCCCAACTGCCCTTCTAACACGTCCATGTTTGTCAGCAAAGGCTCCTGGGTTTCACCAGAGATGTATACATCTAGGTCCAGCATCAGTACTCCCACATTTGTCTGGCATGCATCATTAGATAACTGGAATTCTGTGATGTGGCACAAACCCCACTCACTCACCCACAGGAAGACTGAATTTAGACAATATTGGATACAGTTATTACCTTGTACTCAAAACTGCTTAGTGGCACAGCTACTGTAATAATGGTTCAGATATTTGCAAACACTGAATAGTGAATGTGAATTACAATGGCCACATTTGATAGGGGTGAAACGGAATACCAGCGGTATTAGTAGAACCACGGTATATTGCCTTCGGTTTGGTATACCGTAATGCAATCAAAAAATTCGGTTTTTGTACCATCGTTTTATTAATCATTTTATACCTTTCGTAAAATGTCTAGAAATCGAATAATTTGGTCACAATCTATGCATATCTTTGCTTGACGACCGCTATTTTCCTGGAAGTAAGTTCGAGATCGCCTAAGTCGTCTACTTATAAAATCAGCAAGACAGCAACTGGAGATACCAGATCAGTTGCTGGGTTCTGTTTCTTTTCAGTTATTTATCGTTATTACTTATAAAAGTCCATTTTATCATAAAGACACGCCATCAGCCGAGTACTTATGATGTTTGCTATGATGCAAGACACGCGTTATGGCCCAGTAAACACTGCTGCAACATCGGAAAATACATGGTGATGTCGGGAAACTGGTAATAAAAGCGATTTTCCTTGATTTCATTATATTTGTTGAATTTAATCCCATTTTCATTCATTAAAGCTGTTTACAGTTACATCGGAGAAAAAGTGTGTGAAATTGCATCCCCTCATTCTATACGCGTACCACTTCCGCTTACCTTGTTCATAAGGGTCCACTTTTCGTGCCTACACCAATATGACAAATTTCACAAAATTTCAGCAATCACGTACTGATTACCATCTCGTCATCCATGGACCCCTAAACCAGCATCATTGACTCATTGAAGTCGTATTTCACAATTAATTGTCAACATTTTGTTTTTACAAGATTTTGCCAAGATTGTGTAGCAGTACATCCCAAGATCTGTGGAAAGTCTCGAAATGAAACGAGAGATAGACAATGGTTTATAGCAAGGACAATGATCTGTCACACTGACTGTAACTGTCTTATGACAACTGTGCTGTGTTAATTTGTTTAATTTATTTATCTATGATATGTCATCAACAGAGTCACATTCGACAAGATCTGATTTGTCTATTGTTTTTTTTATTAAAAACACGTTTACGTTCCTGGGATGTGGTGATTTCACTGCAGAAAATACTGATGTGATGTTAGTGACTTTTAATCATATTTGGCTACTTGCTATTTTGTCACACAGTCGTGACCTCAAAGGTTTCGGTGATACTTTCTATTTTGTCATGAAATGACAGTTTTGTTCATTCAAAATAACAAAGATTATGGTTATTTTTTTCCCATGTTATTAAACAATGTAAGGCTTGGCTGTTGTCAATTTTCTGCATTATCATCATATCTCATATATACCGAACCGAAACGGACCGAACCGAAGACCTTGTACCGCAATACGTACCGTACCGTGGTAAGAGTGTATTGTTTCACCCCTAACATTTGATTAATGTTTGACTGGCAAGTTCTAATGCAGTATCTTGTATGGTGAGCTGATGATACTGTCAACACCGCTTGAGACTACAAGTGATATAAATAAATTACGTCTTGTGTCTAAAAATCCATAAATCTGATGCAAGAAATCCGCAGTTATAAATAATTAGCATTTTAGCTGAAAATAAACTCCTCAGACTATTATCCTAGAAGCTGTTCATTGTGTATGTGTTCTGAATAGCAGCATCAAGATATAGGTCACTGCACTAATACATAATTCAATACAAAGTTTAAACTGAAGAAGTCATCAGGTAATTCTGAATGGATTCATGATTTCCATTCAATCATCCAGACCATCACATAATTCACTGCATAGTTACAGCAATAACTAGCCTATCAAGTGTTTCTAAATTTGACAGTGTTTGTCTCTTCATGCAGAAAGTGTCTTTCTTTAATTCTATATTTAATTCACTTGATGGACAAATAATTATCAGTTTCGATATTTTGGCTGCAACATAGATTACACAAACAATTTCATTCCTGACTTTCCTGCTGCAGCTCAATCACAGGCGAAATTACACAACAGATTAATTCAAATGTTCAAGTCCATTGAGCTAAACAATGATGATTTGTTGTTAAGTCTGAAATAATTATTTTACATAAAATATGATCAAATCTGTTTAAAGCTGAAGGATCTGTGTATACACTGAGAACTCTACAAAGAAATCTAAATATTATTAGGTTTAAAAGCCAAATCCCGACAGGATAAATATGAATATGATCATATGAGTATTTGACAAATTCTTACATTCTTTAAACTTATCACCAGATACAGTCTGTTCAACTTGACCTACTTATAAGAGTCATCATCAAGGGAGGGTGCACACTGAGTTGTAACAGGAAATTCATTGAGTCCTTGAGAGTGAGATACTGATTGTCCTCTAACATGGCAGATAGAAATATACCCTCTGGAATCGTTCTCCTAATTGTTCTTAAATCTATTGTGAAGTTAAAGTTTGTGCTTTCATTACAACTGTTTATGACTGTATATTTTGGTTCAGCGTAAACAGTTTTAAAAGGGGAATATTTTGTAGTAATGAGTTGAGATTTCATACCGTTTTCGTTAATTTCTTACAGTGAGTGAGTGAGTGTATAAAGCCACTTTCAACACATCAGTGAGGCCTAAACAACAAATGTTGTGGTTCCGATTACCCGACCGACCCTTGAATTCTGGTGCCAACCCTATAATTTTTAAGTGATATGAACAAAATATGCTTTCAGATACAAATGTTTTTTCACGGCACCAACAGACATGTAATTCTGATTGAGAAAGTCGACATCATGGCCGCAAGCTTGATTGAAAAAACAATTACACATTGAGAAATTTGTTAATAGTTTGGACTTAAATTCTAAAAGAAATATTTAAAAAATCCTACCTACCCTATATTTTAAAGAGGTGTAATCGGAACCACAACATTTTTTAATTTGGCCTGATTGATGACCAGATATCAATGATACATTTCCGTTTACGTGAAGTATATGTAATAGCCAACTCAAAACCTGGAACTTTGGACGGGGATACATTACCTTAGGCTCGGATTCAAACCATGCATTCCCTCACTTATCAATATCCATCATTTCCATTGGTTATTTGCTGCAGAACTTTGATGGGTAAAAGATACTTCGTAATGTTGATGAGTCGGTGAGATAATCTGCTCAGTGATGTGATCAGCTGCCCAAATGAACTTCATAATGTGTTTAATCATGACAAGCCATGATAGATTCGTAAGCTATCATTGCGCCCCCTGCAAGAGCAAACATGCCCAGTCTCGTCCTGATGCAACATGCCACAGTAGTTAATAAACATGCACTTTCATGCTTTTGTTTCCCATGCATACATGCACATACTCATCCCCTTCATCCCAACCCTAAAAATCTTCCATGAAGAATTTCAAACATGGACAGTTTTCATTCCAAAAGCTTAAAGATGAAAAAGTATTGTCCTTAAACAAACGGTTCTAAATTTGCAATTTTACAGCTGACAGGAAATGAGTAAGTGAGTGAGTATTGTTTTATGCCGCTTTAAGCAATATTCCAGCAATATCATGGTGGGGAACACCGGACATGGGATTCACACATTGTTCCCATGTGGTGAATTGAACCTGTGTCTTCGACATGACGAACGAACACATTAACCACTTGACTACCCTACCTCCCCTGCAGGAGATGAGAAATGCCTTCATGGATGGAATACCCCAGTATCACACTTGGCTGGACTGACTGACTGTCTGACTGACTGACTGACTGACTGAGTTTGGTTTTACGCCGCTTTTAGCAATATTCCAGCAACATCACGGTGGGGGACACCAGAAATGGGCTTCACACATTGTACCCATGTGGGGATTCGAACCTGGGTCTTTGGCATGACGAGCCAACGCTTTGACCACTAGGCTACCCCACCGCCCCTTGGCTGGACAGCAAATAGAGAGAATATATGGAAGGGTTAGTTACCGCACCCCAAATAAAGCTTCCATAGTGTCAGGATTGAACAGATATGTACACGCAGAGTCCTTACCTGTTGCTGTTGTGTAAACCTGGTCAGTGACAACAACGATGATGATGATGATGACAACGACGATGACAACAACTTGTTTCATCTTCCTGACCTTGGGCTAGAGCTGAACAGGTGATGACATCCTCGTTCATTCTGTAACAGAGACATATAACATTCAGGTTCATTCTGTAACAGACACAATACTATTGTTCATTTGTAACAGACATAAAACACAAGGTATGATATCCTGGTGGTTAAAGTATTCGCTGATTGTGTTGGAGAACTCCGATAAAACTTGACCCAACTCTGACATGAGATAAAGGAGAGGTATCACTTCATGCATATGTTCAAGTTCTCATTTGAGGCAGACTCTTATTCCAAAAAACATCTGTATCTAATGGGAACAGCCTTATCTGGAAACTTGGTCTTGGTGTGGGATTATGGCTGATTTCACAATAAACAATGGTGCAGTATTGCACATGCAAGATGTAATCTTCGCAGGTGGGACTCAGCAGGTGGGACTCAGCAGGTGGGAGTCAGCAGGAGCAGCACTAGCAGTGGATCTTGCTGGCCACTGTCTTACTGAACTGAGCTACAGATAAGCCGTGTACTTGTGTATTCGTAGAGTCAGCAGAAAGACAGAACTATCCTTGCATTTAAACAACACTGAAACAACTTGAAATATGCTATTGAAATGGAACTAATATGAATATTTCGACTGTTGAATGAACAATTGCATATCACAGGGGCGGATACAGCTTTTTGAGAAAGGGGGGTGCACACTATTGAGAAAAGGAGGGGTGCACATTTCATTTTTACCCGAGTTTCAATGGTCATTTAACAAACTTTCACCACAAAAGGGGGATGTGCACCCCTGCACCCCCCCTCTGGATCCGCCTATGGCATATCATGCCATGAAATTCATCTGTGGACAGTTACATTTGGTGGGATATATGCGACAAGTGAACAGGAATATCAAAAGATTTTAATTGAAAAGCACCTGCTGTTTAGTCAATGTCTGCCTTCACTACAACATAAAGCTTAGATATAAATGGTGTCCGTTGGGGTTATATCAGAGGTAGAGATAAGCTGCGTATCTGCGTAAATTACGCAAATATTTATGTGAAAACTCAATTCCTATTAAGTCTATTGCGTACAAGTACGCTTGAATTTTTGTAAATACTCAATAGAGGTTATGTTACATACGTACACACAAAAGTGTCAAATCTTAGCTTGCGTACATATGGATAGATAAAATATCTGAGGTACACACATGTATATTGAGAGGTTCTGTTTCAGGACATGAACTTGGCAACTTGCAGTCTTTCTTATTGTTTCTCATATTACAGATCAAATATAAATAACAAACACTCACATTTAAACTTTATTATATTTTAACAATTAATGGAAAATGACAAAATATCCAATTGAGTTTGAGTGAGGTGGGTACAATTTATTTGGTTACTCAAAGGAAAATTAGGATACCCAATTGAGATGACCACAAGCGAGTACATAACTCAATGACCCAAAACGTTATCTGCAGCTCTGTTATATATTGTTAGATATGTAAATATCTGTCAAAGGTCATCTTACTTGAAAGAGAGATTTTGTTGCCCATTCATTAGATCACACCATGTCTATGCTGAGTTATACCAGAGATACTCTACAACAGGCCTTATATATAGTCTCCCTGATTATACATAGTCCACTCATGAGTCATTTTGTTGATGAGTCGGTACCAGTAATAAGCTTTCATGTCATGCTAGTAAAACGAAATATAAAATATAGTCATATAATAGACGTTTCAATCGATATCCTGTTTATGTAGCACTTAGGCTTCTGAGAACTGCTGGGCGCTTTCAAGAAATTGTGACGTAACTTCACCATAAACAGCAACAAGCCGCCAGGCTACACTCTGAACACTGCTAACTAACAGTGACAGATGTCTGAAGTTCAGTACATCACATACAGTAATACAATTGGATCATGGTGAGCGAAGATACGTCATTTTGTCTGAGACTAATTTTACAGGATTATTGAAATATGTAAATGTATATACATGTGTCAATGTTCAACTCACCTATATATTGTGTTATATTAACTCAATATACCAGAATATTACGAGCCTTTTCGTGACTTCTTCTGCGCAATGGCGGGCCTCCCGCTTCCGTTGGCGCGGTCGCGAGTTTAGAAATGGGAATCCCCTGAATCTATTTTAAGCATATTAAACAGTCGCCATTACTCATGCAGTTGATATAATATAATTTTTTTACTTTTTTGGTTTATGATTGTTGTTTAACGCCGCTCTCATCAATATTCCAACTATATGACTGCAGTCTGAAATAATTAATGGGTACAACAAGGAGAGAGAGAGAGAGAGAGAGAGAGAGAGAGAGAGAGAGAGAGAGAGAGAGAGAGAGAGAGAGAGAGAGAGAGAGAGAGAGAGAGACTGGAACAATGCCTTATAGAAGCATGAGGACTCTGATGAATCATTATAGACTTGAGTGGGAATCTAATTATTTTGATTATTTCCAGGGGTCATGGACATAGCCTAGTGGTTAAAGCGTTCGCTCGTTACGCCAAAGACCCGGGTTCGAATCCCCACATGGGTACAATGTGTGAAGCCCATTTCTGGTGGCCCCCCCCGCTAAAAGCGGCGTAAAACTAAACTCAGTCAGTCGTTCAAAGCTCATTAAGGTTAGCGTAACCGAGCCCGGTTAATGTGACATTTATATGCGTCTTCTCCACACAGTCTACTACAGTTGTTTCCAATGGCGACAGGTGCAATAAACACCCGGCACACTGAATGAAAAGGTCCGTGTCACCACACGCAACATATATTACATAACGCCGCTGACAGCAAGCTGGTACTTAACAGTGTGATACTTATCGGTACATAAAGTATTGACTTCTACAAAAAACAAAGGCATTTGTTTGAACGTTTTGAATGACAAATAACAACATCGATTTATCACTAACATAAAAATTCAGTTTTAGTGAGTGAGTTTTAGCAATATTCCAGCAATATCACGGCGTGAACACCAGAAACGGGCTTCACACATTGTAACCGTGTGGTGAATCGCACCTGGTCTTCGACGTGACGAGCGAACGCTTCAACCACTAGGCTACCCCACCGCCCCAAAAGACAAAGAGGGTGTAGGTAGCCCCGAATTCAGTATTAAACAGAGAAAACAAGAGAGCACTTGTGTGAGTGAGTGAATGTTTGCATGCGTGAATGAGTGAATGCTTGCAAGCGTGAGTGAGTGAATGCGTGCATGCGTGAGTGAGTGAATGCGTGCATGCGTGAGTGAGTGAATGCGTGCATGCGTGAGTGAGTGAATGCGTGCATGCGTGAGTGAGTGAATGCTTGCATGCGTGAGTGAGTGAATGCGTGCATGCGTGAGTGAGTGAATGCTTGCATGCGTGAGTGAGTGAATGCGTGCATGCGTGAGTGAGTGAATGCGTAAGTGAATGCTTGCATGCGTGAGTAAGTGAATGCTTGCATGCGTGAGTGAGTGAATGCTTGCATGCGTGAGAGAGTGAATGCTTGCATGCGTGAGTGAGTGAATGCTTGCATGCGTGAGAGAGTGAATGCTTGCATGCGTGAGTAAGTGAATGCTTGCATGCGTGAGTGAGTGAATGCTTGCATGCGTGAGTGAGTGAATGCTTGCATGCGTGAGTAAGTGAATGCTTGCATGCGTGAGTGCATGCTTGCATGCGTGAGTGAGTGAATGCTTGCATGCGTGAGTGAGTGAATGCTTGCATGCGTGAGTAAGTGAATGCTTGCATGCGTGAGTGAGTGAATGCTTGCATGCTTGAGTGAGTGAATGCTTGCATGCGTAAGTAAGTGAATGCTGGATGCGTGAGTGAGTGAATGCTCGCAGCGTGAGTGAGTGAGTGAGAGTGCTTGCTTCAACGCCTCTGTTAACAGCATTTCACTTACTCCACGGCGTGCCACACGGGAGGTGAAATTACAGTCAGTGATTTGGGGTTGTATTGGCGTGTTTTAAAGCTATATTCAAATAATAGCAAGGGCGGGCGAGAGTCGTTTGTATGATGAATCAAACGAAAGAGATTCTCCGGCGGTACTTTAAACAACTCCAGTTGACCGCGCTCATCGGAATATCTTTCACGGCAACACACAGACATGGTTTCATGTTCCGTGAATATTTCTGTACATCGACAACTCCCATTAGCATGTCATGAATGTCCCATCGTTTTTCCAGCTACTGACAAATCAGCGGGTGTTTTAATTACAAAGACAATTTCATGTATTTTTATGATCAAACATCCTCATGTTCGGCGGTCACGCGTTGTGCCACTACGTCATATGGCGACGTCTGTGCTGTAGGCGACGTAGAAACTTGGTAATGGTCGCTGATGACGCACATGCAACGGGTTTGATCCTCAACTCGGGTCTACGTAATTTCCGTGGGCTTTTTTCTGTCAATATTATGAATTCAAGTTGTCATAAATTGTGATTTCCTGAATGCTGAGACCGCCTCCGTGGTGTAGTGGTTAGAGCGTCCGCCCGGAGAGCAGAAGGTCGCGGGTTCGATCCCCGACCGCGTCATACCAAAAGATGTTAAAATATGGTACTTGTTGGTCCCTGCCTGGCGCTTGGCATTAATGGGTACAACAAGGACTGGTCGGCTCGGAGTCAGTATAATGTGTCTGAGTGGGGTATTCATGCTTCACTGCGGTATGGTATCTCAGTGAGCTAGCGCTATAAAACCAGCTTCAGTCTTGGCTAGTACAAGCAGCTTCACATACACATACACGCGCATGCACGTCGTCATATGAGCGAAATATTCTCAAGCACAACGTTAAACCCAATTTCATCTCACCTTAATGCTGATTCCATTTGTCTACAACTGTCGGGCGTCTAAACGGAGCTGGAGTGAGTGAGTGAATGAGTTTAGTTTTACGCCGCTTTTAGCAATATTCCAGCAATATCACGGTAGGTGACTACAGAAATGGGCTTCACACATTGTACCCATGTGGGGAATCGAACCCGGGTCTTCGGCGTGACGAGCGAACGCTTCAACCATTGGCCGACTCCACTGCCCTCAACGGACCTGGAATTTGCTAGAAGACACCAAACATACTGGCCAATACATTTCACAGTCTGTCCGCCTGAAATCAGCTCCCAGTTCATTTATCATACAACATACAAGTATAATTTGAAACAAATATATTTTACAACTTTGGAAACAAGTTGTTCCTGAGTATCGCCTATTTTTGTTTCTTCTGTAACCTGGCAATGTAAACTATTCAGACTATTTAGTGAGAGAGAAAGGCAATATCTACACCAAACCTCAATAGTTGTGCTTGAACCCAGGCTGCAAATAATACGCCATGTTTGCGAGTCTTGGACATTTGTTTTATATTCAGGTATCACAAAAACATGTGTGTGTGCTCCTAACTGCAATAGGAATACGCCTAGAAATACCCGAGACATCACGTGTTGTTTAGAAGTGAAGAAAAGCCAAAGCAGGTGGTAAGTTTATGTAACCTGGCAACAAAGCGAGGTTGTCAATGAAGCCATCAAAATAATAAAACTCCAGACCATAACACACAGGCACGCACACACACACGCACCAACGCGCGCGCGCACGCACGCACGCACGTACGCACACACACATATAGTATGACCAGAAATTATTGAGAATTTTAGGAATATGTTTAATTGGATTTCTAGTATAAACAACCTTGACCAGATATCAAGTGCTTGGTTTCATTCAAGAGAGACAACTCCGTTAATCCTTTTCATTAGTTTGTGAAGAGTTATCCCCTTTTGTTTACTTGCTAGCAGACGACATTTTCAGTGATCCTCAGTATGGATGATTTAGAGAAGAGGAAGTTGATTTTAGAGTATTATAACAAGGACATCAGATCAGCTAAAGTGATTTCAAGTAGAACAGGCATCCCTTTGTCCACTGTTTATCGTGTTTTGAAAAATATTGCAAATGGATATGGCATTGAGCACCAGGGAGGCGCAGGTAGGCCCAGAAAATTCACTGTCGGTGACAGGAGGCGGCTTGGTATTCTTGTTTCTAAAAACAAACGAAGGGGTTTAGAAAACTTAAGGATGGATATGATTGATAGAGCAACTGTGGCTGTCTGTAAGGAGACAATTGGAACTGAGCTGTATGCAATGGGTTGTCAGAAAAGTCGAGGAATTCCATCACCGATCATGAAACCTGAACAAAAGGAACGTAGGTTGAACTGGTGCTTACAGCATAGAAATTTTAACTGGGACAATGTGATTTTCTCAGATGAAAGTTGTGTGTGGCTGTTTCCTAATACACTGAAATTCTGGACCAAACAAACTGAAAAACCTTTGTATCAGCGCCCAAAGTACAGTCCGAAAGTTAACGTGTGCGGTGGCATATCTGTGTTAGGGGCAACGCCCTCTGTGTATTTGAAGGGAATATGAACAGTGAGCGGTACACAGGTATTCTCGAGGGACATTTACTTCCATCTGTTCACGTGTTCTATGGAATTGTTTTGATTTTCCAGCAGGACAACGACCCAAAACATCGTTCAAAGCATTCACAGGCCTGGTTTCGGCCCCAAAATATGACATTATTAGATTGGCCAAGCTATAGCCCTGACCTAAATCCAATAGAAAATGTTTGGGGACTTATGAAGGAAAGTGTCAATAAGAAAAATGTGACAAATATTGGTGAAATGAAAGAAGAGGTGGTCCGATATTGGAACAGCATGGATCACGACTTTCTAACTTCTTTGATCAGTAGTATGCCCCGCCGCATTGAAGCCTGCATTG